ATTTTACAGACATATATCTTACCGAAGCTATTTTATAATCTTCTTTTAATAGAACCCCCTTTTAATCTTTTAGACGATCTTGATGTGTTAGTTAGAAAAATAGTTAAAGAGATTTTACATTTACCTCAGTGTACCACAGATGGGATATTTTATTCTAGAGGTAGGGATGGTGGTTTAGCTCTCACTAAGTTTAGTGTGCAAATCCCAAATATGTTAATTCGTAAATGGAGGAGACATATTGTCTCGAGAGATGATTGGATGGACCTATCTTATCTATATGCAGGAGAAAATCTTGTGGATAAAATATTGTCATTTAGTGCAGTAACATCTCATCCCAAGAAATGGAGGGAAGAGGAATTTTTAAGATGGTCGGAACTGAGATGTCAGGGAATAGGGATAAAATATTTTAAAAATGATTTAATTAGTAATTCGATTTTTAGAAACTCTACTAAAGTTAAATCGTCAGCGTATATCGCAGCATTGCAGCTTAGGGCAAATATTTATCCTACTAGGGAGACATTAGCAAGAGGAAGAGGAGGTGTGAATGCTCTTTGTAGATGGTGCGGTAAAGTGCGGGAGACTGTTCCCCATATCTCAGGACAATGTTATAAGACTAAGAATGCTAGGATAAAAAGGCATAATAGAGTAGTGTCTGCAGTTGTAGATAAGGTTGGTAAATTAGGGTGGAAGGCAATGATAGAGCCCCATTTGAGAAATAGTAAGGGTGAGTTAAGAAAGCCGGATATTATATTTATAAAAGGAGATACAGCAGTGGTGGTTGATGTTACAGTGCGATGGGAGGATAATGCCGGAAGTTTGGAACAAGCCCACAGTGAGAAGGTGGCTTATTATCTTGAGTTAGAGGAAGAAATTAAAAACTTAACGGGAGGTAAAAATATTCACTTCTTTGGTTTTGTGCTTGGGGCGCGTGGCAAGTGGAGTGAAGGTAATAATGATTTGTTACAATTATTGGGAATGGACAGAAGTAAAAATTTTAAGGAGAGTATATGTAGACTTGTTTTATATTCCACTATTGGTATGATGGCTATATTCAGTGACAGGTAAAGATCCCGGAGTTTCCATTCCGTGTATCTTGCCAAAACTTAATTTTAGCTATTTTGGTTTCCATGCTCTAAATTTTCAAATTTTTAATATTGTTTTGAACATTAACTTATTTAGTGTTATTTAATATCTGTCCTTCAATAGAATGGTTTTAATTATATAATAAATACTTATTAATGGATGAAATTCCAATTTAAATTATTAGTTTATTTTTTTTTTTTAACTACTGGATGTGGATGCGGACTGGCCGCGTATAATAACCAGGAAAGGGCAGGTAGTCACGCCTGTACATAAATAGGGGGTGGGGTTCTGGAGGGCAGTTAGGAGCAGGGGTCCCAGAAGGGGTAGTCAGGGGACAAGGAGCGGGGGGTTGGGAGTTCTGGGGGGGGCTGTCAGGGGGCAGGAGTGGGGAGAGGGATCGGAGCAGTCAGGGGACAGGGAGCAGAGGGGTTTAGATGGGTCGGGAGTTCTGGGGGGGGCTGTCAGGGGGTGGGGAGTGGTTGGATGGGGCGTGGGAGTCCCAGGGGTCTGTCTGGGGGTGGAGGTGTGGATAAGGGTTGGGGCAGTCAGGGTACAGGTAGGGGGTAGGATCCTAGGGGGCCAGTTAGGATGGGGGGAGGGTCTCAGGAGGGGGCAGTCAGGGGAAAAGAGGCAGGGAGGCTTAGGTAGGGGGTGGAGTCCTGGGGGGCAGTTAGGGGCAGGGGTCCCAGGAGGGGGCAGTCAGGGGACAAGGAGCGGGGGGGGGGGGTGGGGGGTCTGAGGGGGGCGGGAAGTGGGAGGGGCAGGGGCGGGGCTAGGGCAGGACGGGGGCGGGGCTAGGGAGGGGCTCCTCCCGTCCTCTTTTTTGCTTGCTGAAATATGGTAACCCTAATTTAGCACTCCTATTTGCAGGTATTTTGTGTTCTTAAATAAGACATACTTTAACCAGGAAAACTGCAGAGTATTTGATGAATAATAGTGCTAAAAGAAACAAGACATGCTATCATCACAGGCCATATTAGTGCTCTTAATAATGTACACCTGCCTCTGAGGGTAAGGATACAGATTGCTACTGTAATTAGTGAAAACTGAGGAGTACAGTTGTATCTAAGGTGTAATTATCAACATGAACAAAAATATAAAGCTTCTAGTTTTCAAACAATGACTCTATACAAAGTTTGTACTCCTAGATTATTAGCATTTGTAAAGTACTTTAGGATCCCTGAATGAAAGATACCGTGTAACTGCAAATATGTTTTGCAAGCATGCATTGGTTCCAGCTTCCCAAAATACCCCTGGCAATTCACTTTACCTCTATATACCTGATCTTTCAGTCTTGAACGTCTATTGAGCATAAACTGCCAACCATATTGTACATTAACTCCTGTGATGTGGATTGCTAATGTCCACTAGTGATCAAATATTGTATTAGCCATTATTCTACAACAAATATTTGAAAAGCCATTTTCATCCTGTTTGCTTACTATTATTTATTAAAACTGAAAGAGAAAATGGAAAGGCTTATTGGTGCTGAGAACAGTTTTCTGTGTAGTCAATCTTACAAATGGTCAGTGAATTTTAAGTTCTTTTACACATGGAGAAAACCGTTTTCTATATATGACCCATAATGATGCCTAGAGCACTCAGGGAATGGATGAAAATATTTATAGAGTGACTGAAGATGGCTATGTAACACCGTGGTATTTATGCACCAGGTCTGGTATGTGTTTGAGTCTTATTTAAAGACTGGGACAAAACAGAGGATTATCCTTCTGTCCTTCACACAGAATGTTTTCTGTTATTTTCATAATGACAGTGTTTATACTTCCTTGCACCTGTCTTTTATTAAAGAACAAACCACAACCTTTTATCAGTCTGACAACTCATTGGAGGCTGATGACAGTTGACTAGAATTAGATATAGACTATGAAGAATGACCTCAGACAAGGAAATCTTGCTAATTATTTTCTGTTTTTGAGACCTGATCATACCTCCCTTTGACAGAATTTTCATTAGCATTTTTAAGATACTCATCTGTTGTTTATTGATTTTTCTGTGTTGGTTCCAACTGGGCAAAGAAAGTTTTGGTTTAAAACCCAAAGTCTGGTCTATTTTTGCTGTAACATGTTATTTGTAATAGAATTGTAATTACTTCATTCAGAAAGCTGGTGTTTTCAGGTTTATCATAAACAAATCAAGTGCATATCCTGAAACTCAGAAATACTTATTTTTTTAAAAAACATCACCTCTCTTTTACTGTACTAACTTTGCTTGTCTATATTGACGAGCCTATTTCCAAGTAGTATTTTGATTGTGTTATTCTGATGTAGTATGTAGGCTACTAAATGAAAAAAATATATAAAATAAGCAGAGAAAAGATTAAAAGGCTGGTTTTGGTATATTTCAACAACAAATATCTTCCTCTTTTTCCACTGTAGATAACTGAAAATGCTTTGTGAGAGTGTAAATACATTGGGGGAGAGGAGCTGTGATTTTTCCATGATTATCCATGGAAATGGTATTAACAAAATTATTCCAAAAAGTAGTTCCCTGTTGGACAAAACACTGGGGTGATTGTTGATATAAACATCACAATAATGTAATACATTTATTACATGCTGTTTGTTTCTGAATTATTCTGTATGGATTCAGTATAATATTAAAGTTTTTTGTTTTTGCTGTAAAGGACATACATGCACTGTAATTAAAATCAGATTCTTTTACATCAAAAACTACAGAATCATTCCAGAAATGTTTTTGTATCAAGTGCTCAGGTCTATTGATGCACATGTGTTCTAAGCAGAGCTATGGTGACACATACCATAAGCATCTAATCTGGAAAGCACACTACAAAAACAAATGGTCCAATTCAAATTCAAAAATATGGTCAGCATTTTCTCATATGCTCTGCTAACAGCGAGAGCTAGTACCAGAAGATACCCCTTTTAATTTCAGTCATAGCTTCTTTGCTATAGACCAGGGGTCGGCAACGTTCGGCACACGGCTCGCCAGGGTAAGCACCCTGGCGGGCCGGGCCAGTTTATTTACCTGCTGACGCGGCAGGTTCGGCCGATCGCGGCCCCCACTGGCCGCGGTTTGCCATCCCGGGCCAATGGGGGCGGCGAGAAGCCTAAATGACTTAAAAGCCTAAGTTTCATTTTCAAAAGTGGCTTTGGTACTTAGAACCCTAAGTCTCAAGGCAATGGGATTTGTGCTGCTAACACATCTAGGTACTTTTTATTATTTTATCCATGGACTTCTGTTTTTTGGCCGATAGATCCGAAATCCAAATGATAGTGTAGCAGACCTGAAATTGTATAGCCTTAACAGATACACACTTATTGTTTACCCCCCCCCCCAAAAAAAAAACAACAACCAACCAAACAAAAAACCGATGGTGGCTGGTTTAGGGGATTGTTAAGGGGGTAGGCCTCGTGCTTGAATGCAGTCCACCTCAGGAGTGACCAGAAGCAATTGCTATCTGACAGCTTTTTAAGAATCTGTGTGAAATGAGTAGGTGGTCTCAGACTAGTTCCTAATGGACAGTCATCCATGTCACAACAGCTACCATCTCAAAGTCACCCTTGCTGGCAGCTTTAGAGGTCCAGAACCATCTGTAGAGGTGGACAGTCCTCCAGAACAAGGTTGAGACACAATGGAAGGAGCTGTGTGGAGCTGGACTGTGGCATACCTGTTGTTCTGTGAACCAAGAGAATTGCAATGCAAATAACTCCGCTTTTTCTCTGCCCACTTGTAAAATGAGAATTAAAAATACTTATAGTACTTACCACACAGGGTGCTGTGAGGCATAATGAAAGTTTGTAAAATGTCATGGTTTAAAAGTGCTATGTAACTGTCCATTATTATAACTCTTTTAATGTTAAGCAATAGAAATGAAAGGCAATGTGCCTGGGTCATCATGTCCACACAAACTCCGTTTTACTCTTTTCTTATTATAGTTTCCTGTAACCTGGCAGTTTTCTACTTTGAAACTATCCATGAGAACATTAATTGCCTGCACATTTATTGTCCAGCCTTGGAAAGCTGCATATTGAGGGCTAGAACCAATGTCCTTTTGTACAACATCACAACAGGTAACAATGTATTATGCACACACAGGCTGAAACAGGCCAGTGATGGGGTAATTGACTATCATGTCGGTTCAGTCATTATGTTAAGATGAGGGGTGGACATCACCTTATTTCATTTGAAGCACAGGTACACAAGATAAAAGTGTCTTGGGGGATTTTTTTTGTCTACAACAGTTATAAACTAACTTGTAAACTGCATTTCCTTACATGAATGTATATGTTTTATTTCCTCTCTTTCATTCAACATTTGAAAGATGAACTGAAAATGCACCAGTATTGCTATGCTTTACACTTTCAGATGTGTATTTAATGTGTTTTTTCCCCTTCTTTAACAGGGATTGATCCGGATCTTCTTGTTTTTGAAAAATTGTCTTATAAGGATCCAAATACCCGTTCCTCTTTTAACAAGTGGGAAAGGCAAAACAACTCCAGGACTGCTGATTCAGAAAAATGCCGACACAATAATGTCACACTGAGGTCTCTTCTACTCCAGTCTCCATCTTCTACCACTAGCCAGGGCTTGGTAGCAAATGATAGTCACAGCCACAATGCAAGTGGCTTGGTCCCAAAAACCAAACCAACCACACGTTCATGGGCAAGGTCTCTACCCTTGGATGACCATTTTGCTAAGGAGACGGATTTGACTTCAGAAAGTACAGGTTTGACATCTAATTCAGACAAAAAGATGTCTGTATCCACTAAGATGTTATCTCATGTGCCCAGTCCTGCTCGCCTAAACATCAGTCAGCAGCACTTCAATGAAACCAAAGGATACAGTGGCAGGAACTACACTTCAGATAACGAGGGTCAAAAACCTGCTTGGGTGGCAGTGGATACAGGTGCCTGGTTTGTGCCTTTGGTGCTTTGCTCTTCTTTCATCTTCCTTTGCTGTTGTACTGTTCTTCTGGCAGCTGGGCGCTGCAGAAAGAGGAGAGGTCACTATAAGCCAGTGCAGAGAGGAGAGGGAGGGTCCAGGCAGTACATAAAATATACTCTTGTAAAGGATAGTTTGTAATAGCAGATACTGAAAAAGTAATAAGGAGCTAAATAATCTGCATCACTCATGTTGGTGGAGAAAGAGGCAGCAGCCGTATTTAGTGAAATACCTCTCTTAGCTTATTTCTTGGGGGTTTCCCTTTGGAGATTTTGAACTATTTTTTGGCACATGTCTCAGCAGCTTTTGATAACAGTGTCGACTAAACATCCTGTTATAATTCTCTTTTTACTACCCACTGATCCAAAGAGATATAGGGCCAAATTCTAGTCACATCTACATGCTCACAACTTCCACTGAACTCAGAGGTATTTCTACATACCTTTGTTTATAATTTGATCAAGAGTAAAGCTAGAATCCTTTCCTAACCTCTCTGTAGAGACAATGGGCTTGATTCTCCACTTCCTCTGTGCGTACTCTTTTTTCCCTGTCTTACTTTGTATAACGTAAAGCAAATGTAAAATGCAACCATATCAGAAAAGCAGCATTTTACACTTACTTTGTCTAAGTCTTTATGGAAACAAAAGGTGCAAGGTTATAGAGAAACAGACCTAGTTACTTTTAGATCATTAATATCCTGAACAACATCCATACGTTTAAAACAGTGGAATTTTAGAGTTTGAAAACACACAGTTATCTACTTAACCATCCAGGACAGGATTGTTGCTACTGTGTGTTTTAAAATTATTCTGGAGATGGGACTTCCACAATCTTTTAGGTCTTATTATTAGGAAATATACTTTAATATTTAGCACTTATTTTCCTTTGCCTGTTGCAGCATTCTCAATTGCCAATTCCCTTCTAGGCATCTCTAGCACCATCTTTGGTCCCCCTCCCATCCTAGATGCCAACCTTTCTTTCACCTCCTCCCAAGCCAATAGCCCTCCAAGTTGGTAATGCTCTCCTATATCTTACAAATGTCAAACACCCCAAAGTCCCTCCCCCCCCACAAGAAAATGAACTGAGTCTCTTGACACTATAGCAAAACACACATTTAACTCTTAATCGTCTCTGGGCTACTGTTTCCATTAAAAGGGCCTCGACTTCTGTTCTCCGAGTAAATCCCAGAGGTTGGATCTTTTGCCTTTCCCCTGGCAAAATGAGGATGAGGTGTTTTAGCCAGACATTTGACATTTTCCATGAAACACTGCCCTCTTGCACCATCTCATACACGTTTCTTGTCCTTATCTGTGTGACCAGGGTCCCAGTGCGGGCCAGCGGTGGTCACTCATATAGGGTGAACTGCAAAGAATGGGGCAGACAATTCCCAAAAAGCGGGTGGATATTCCAATACTTAGGTTTACCAAGCCAGCATAAAACAGCTTCTTTATTACCTCACTGGTTACTCAGAAGTCCAAAAAACACAGTTCCGTTAAGCAGGGGTTCCCAAACTTGGTTCACGGCTTGTTCAGGGTAAGCCCCTGGCAGGCCATGAGATGCTTTGTTTACCTGAGCGTCCGCAGGTACGGCTGCTCGCAACTTCCAGTGGCCACGGTTCACCGTGCCCAGCCAATCGGAGCTGCGGGCGGCCGTACCTGCGGACGCTCAGGTAAACAAAGCATCTCATGGCCTGCCAGGGGCTTACCCTGAACAAGCCACGAACCAAGTTTGGGAACCCCTGCCTTAAAGTGATCCAGCCTCAGGCCTCCACCCAGGTACCCAAATCAAATATATGATGAAATAAGATTTTCAGAAATCATCATAAAAGAAAAGGTTCTACCAATCCCAAAGGATTGGACACATCACCTCCCAGGTTAATGAATGTTTCAGATCTTACCCAAATGCACGCTACATCCAATTCTTATTAACTAAACTAAAATTTATTACAAAACAAAAGAGAGAGTATGGTTAAAAGATCAATATACATACAGCCTGAGTTCAGTTCATTGAGGTTCAGATTCATAGCAGAGATGGTGAGCTTTGTAGTTGCAAAGAGTTTTTTCAGATATAGGTTATAGTCCAATGTCCAAATATATTCAGGGCGTACCAGCATAACTGGGACCTTAGTCTTACGACTCAAACTTCCCCCGATGAAGCTTAAGCAGATCTAAGATGACAGAATCAGGACCCAAGGATCTTTTATACAATTTCAAGTCCTCTTTGACAAGTTGGGCGTTCCTCTGGGAACAAAAGGTAATTAGGATGACTTGGAAGGAGGTCATCACTGGTACTTAGCTATACGAATTAACATAAGGCAATTTGCTTGTTCTTCCACCATTCACAGATTATTTGCTATACATTTCAAAGAGAGATGAATACAGAGATATCCTGTGTTTACAATTCATTTAAATGTCAGGATGTTCTTTTGACCTCTGAATTATCAGAACACACCATAGACAGGGTGTTGATTACATTGTGACACTACTCATACGTATGTAAATACACAAAAACACAAACATTATCTCCTCACATGTCTTTTGAGGGTTATTTATTTTGCAGGATTGCTTGATTTAACCCTTTCTAGCCATGCGTCACAATCTGCAAAGCCCTTCACAGTCTAGCCCCACTCCCTCCCTCCCTCCTCAAGCTATTACCCCCTGCTTCACTCTGCCAGTGAGGCCAGCCTCAATTCTCTCCCCACTTCTTTCACAAGCACCTTTGTGCTTTCTCCCAGGCTGCCTCCTTCAAGTCTGTCCTCAAACTCTCATGCTCTGTATGAATGCTGAGAAATACAATCTTATAATGGCTAGGCAGGTGGCAAACTGTGATTACTGCTCATGATTGGCTAAGATTATTTGTGTTACTCCATGTCATCCACCCTGGCCCACTTGTTCTTCTCATCTACACTGTTTATGTCACATCTTTTGAACTGCGAGCTCTTTGAAGAAGAGACAGTTACTATATGTTTGGATAGCATATAGCACAATGGGGCTCTGAAATTGTAGGCCTTTAGAAACTTCCATGATATAAATTACAAATAAAAAGAACACTTCCTGTTCTGCACTGTACACTCTATTCCTGTGGTTTTCAACCTCTTTTCATTTGCGGATCCCTAAAAAATTTCAAATGGAGGTGCGGACCCCTTTGGAATCTTAGACATAGTTTTCAGATCCCCAGGGGTCTGCTGACAACAGGTTTAAAACCACTGCTCTATTCATTAGAATGGCCCTTCAATTCCCAATGTATTTTTCAAACCAAGTTACTAGATCAGCAGGGTAGTAAGCTGCCACCTTACCTTACCCAAGAAGTTTGGTTAATGAACTTAGGCAAAGCAAATGCATTTTCAACAGTAACCTGGATTGTTCATCTTTTAAACTGGTTGATGATTCAGGGTTCATCAATTTCTTTACTTTCTGTCAGAAGTAATTTGACCGGCTCTCTTGAACAAAGAGGTGTAAAAAGACACATTGGTTCAATTTGTGTTATTGTATTAAAATCATTTTCTTAAAGTAAAGTTTCTGTTCACTATATTTGTGTAAAACTATCTTAAAATTGATAAGATACACTGACTAAAGTTTAATTAATGAGCTGATGAGGATTCAATGCCAAATGCCTATGTCATTACAGTGGAAGAGGTCGGTGTGAACGACTTTAAAACTATATTTTAGCTGAATATTAATTAACTACTAAAATTTAGGAAACTAGAATATAGCAAGTCTGTAAAGGCCTCTGATTATGTATATAAACCTATGTGCACATATACTACAAAACAGATTAACATTAGGATAAAGATATCTAGAAGTACTATTTTGGAGGGAGAAGAGATTAAATCAGATGAAATAATGCAACAGAAATTTCATCTTTTTTTTTATTCCGCTAACCCTAACGTATTTGTATTTTTAGAATTAAGTTTTGAGGCTTGTTGTGGTTTTACTGATAAATTGGTAAGATCTCCAAAGGAGTTAAAACATCAACATCCATGCCTACCTTGAACAAGATGACATCAATAATTGCACCCTCACTGCCCCTCCTCTAGCTACCTCTAAGATCAAAATGGAACAACAGATCCTGGTTCTGCATGATGTACTTTTGAATTAAAGATGAAGGCGCAAGTAATCCATTTCATTTAAAAAAAAATTAGGTTTCTGGCAAGTTATGGTGATTCCTCTCTGATGGGCAACATTTAGATGCTCTGACTTCATATGCTATTACATTACAACATTACACATAACAGCATAACTATAACTACATACATTAAATGCATGAAATGATCAGCCACATCCCCACAAACCATAAACAGTTGTGGATTGTTGTTTTTTTATCACCAAAACCATTAACTAGGACTTTTCATCCTCTGAGTTCTTTACTAAACACATTAGTAAGCCATATTCTGATGTCTGTTTATATAAAACACAAACTTAAAAAATAAGGGAAAAACTCCTACTTTTAATCACGCAAAAGCAGCATTAAAAGCCCTCTTTTGTATGCAAGATGAAAAGGGAATATCAGTAACATGTAAAAAAAAATAACCATTGTTAGCTTTCTCCTTGGCCATCCATTACCACATGAATAAACATTCGATTCAGTGTAACAGAAATGGTTTATCAAACTCTTTCCTCATGGTTTATCCTGACCATATTATTAGACAACAGCAAAATGCACCTTTTGCTGCCAAATGGTGGCTCAGCAAGAACTGTACCTTAAAGAACATTGTACTTTTGTGGGATTAAGTTTTAAGGTAGCCTAAACCTCAACCCAGATAAATACTTCTAAGTGAACTAGATCTGCACCTTTGGGATGCCTTTCTTCAGGCTGAATGCAGCCTTTCTTTCTTAAAGCTCTGTTTGTGTTCATAATCTAGCCTCTGTAGCCCTCAGCCAGAAAGTAGGTGTTGTGTTACTTGAGAAATTGGACGTTCCAAATAGCGCAGACTTTATTTTCCAGGATTTTGCAGCACAGATTTATGAATATACATTCACCCTGAAATTAGTCCCTGTCCCTTTTCTTACAGGCATGGCAGCCATACCATCTCATGCTGTGATCTCTCCACCTAAGAAAGAACTGGCTTGACCAGAAGTAAGCAGGTCACGCAGGAGGTGCAACTCTTCTCTACAAGTCAGTTTTGCCCAGTGCCCCAGCAT